AAGGAAGTTTAGTCCCATCAGGCTAACGTGACAGTCACGACTCATGCAGCTGTAAGGTTTTCTTTTTCTTTTGATTTTACTTGCAATCTTTACAACACGCATTACATTACATATTTCATGGCACACTCGTTTTATGCGTATTTGGCGCCACCTATTGTTGTGGGTGTATTATTGACATGTCAAAGTCTAGACCCTGAATATAAGACGACCGCGTTTTTTCAGATGTATTTCCAAGAAAAAAAACATCGTCTTATATTCGGGTCAATACGGTATTGTAATATCTTTTAAGCATTCTATTATAAACATTTTAATACCTTTTGCATGTTTCATCTCTTAAGAAAATCCATGAAGTGGTTCATGTTTAGTCAGTTTTCACTGGTTTTACATTTTAATACTTAATTCATGATAATATTATGACAATATCATTATTATTATCATCATTGAAAACAGAATGATTAGCCTATTCAATTGCACTTGAAATGTCAAAGTAAGTTCAGCGATGAAGTGTAAAGAACCCATAGATTTAGCCAGCCTTCTAATTCACCCATAACACCAAGCAGAATGTGCATTACAGGACCTTCTAGTTGGAGCTCAGGGAGTTTGCTGCCATCTGGCTGAAGAAACCTTCCATTTGGCATCACATCACCAGGGAATGACAGTGGAGAAAAGCAGAACATCAGAGGAAATGCAGTGAAATTCACTGTCCTCCTTCCTGCGCTCCTGCTTTGTATTTTACTCACAGAAAGATCTTCCTTTCTTATCCTATGATCTCATTCGATCGTTTCTCTGTGCTTTGCATCTTTTTTTCTTCTCATTGTACGCTCAATGTGTTTGAATGTCTAAAATTGCTGTCAATATCTGAAAAGAGTTTCTATTTTCAGTTTCTTTGCTGTGTGATACAGGCTAGTATTGACATGTTAGCTTTGACTGGAAGATTGTTTTCATCTCACATGACCCCTGGAAGGTGAGAGGGTTGTTTGATATGCTCAGACCAGCATGGCCAGTATTTAACTTCTGCTCAACATGTTTCACTAGTCCCATTTTCTTTGAGCGCAGACGCAGAAACTTTTAATGAGCCAGCGAGCATTTGTGTTGAACAGGTGATACTGAAGCTAATGAAAGCAACAACAGCCCACACAGATATTAAAGTCTATGTCTGGATTTCTTCTTTTTCATTCTGTGTTATATTGTAGGAACTTCTGTGCGAGAGCTGTATTTTCTCTTATGTTAGATTTCGAATAGCCGCATGATGAAATGTGGCGACTCAGAGGCTTGAGTAGACTGAGCAGCTGTACGCTTAAAATTAAAGGTTACAATTAGAAACGAAAAAGCATTTTACAGGCTGACAGCATGTCTCCACTGGATGCAAGTGGTACATCACGATGCAATAAAGCTAAATGGCTCCCATTATTATCAGTTCTGTTATTTACAGTGGAAAAGCTTGTTGCTACTTTTCTCAGCGGTTAACAGTTGCTTCCTGTGATTCATGTCATGCCATGGAAGAACTATTTACACTTTCAAATTCTTATTTTCTATGTATTTCTATGAGTCTTTAAAGAACCCAGAAACCAAAATGCTGTTCAAAGAACCTTATAGCCAACTCAAGAACCTGTCTTTGCTGACAGTAAAGCACGGGATGATCAGTGCAATGGTTGAGGAGACACTATTGAACATCACAGGGTATTTGAAGTAAATAATTTATTCATTGTCATATTCAAGTTACATCTTTAAGGTCTCAAAGTGACAATGTATAACATTTGTCTGGGACTGGCAAAATGGGATCCACAGGAAAAATGAAATCCATCTTAGTTCTGACAGGGAGATGTCAGTGGAGGTGTGTCTGTCTGCCGATAAAATAAAATAAAATAAAAATGAAAGGGAAGAAATGAAACGCCTTCCAACAGTAGTTGATTTAGACTCAGTGAAGTTGTGTGTGTATCTGTGTGTGTACGTGACTAGGGATGTAAAAAGGACACAGTCAAGGACGTGGTTCAAGAACTCTGAAGGACACCATCTCTGCTTGATGAGAGAGAGTGAGGAGGATGGTGACAAGACACCCCTGCCCCATCCCCAAACTCCAAGGCTGATTTTATTTTTTGATGAGATGTCAAGTTCTCCATTACAAAGCGAAGATCTTGAAAGGTGTCCTCCTTGAGATAAAGCGATATCATCTTGTGATCGGCAGTGTTGTGACCCTTCAACCAAACTCCTTATCAGCTCTTGCAGACCTAAATATTGGAGGTCATGTTCTCTCTATCTAAAATTGGACTTTACTAGATGTATTTGTTTTTAGTTTTCTTGCATCATAGTAGTTTTGCTGTAGTTCATGAATAATTTAAAATTTTAAAGAAATTCTCATTTTTCGCAATTAAAATGGTGATTAATGTATTAATAGCACCATCAACTTAAAATACAAACTCTTTGCATATCTACATGTTGCTGAGAAATTATTAATCAAATACGATATTGCTTTAGTTGTAAATGATGGATGTTTGCTAAGCTTGGATCAAAACTGACCTAGGAATGTCAGTGTTATGCAGATTTTGGATGCATCAGGAATAAATCTGTTTACGACCGGGTTTCTCTCTGTTAGGGCAAAGAAAACAAACCTGCAGACAACTACAATGGTTGCCAGCCAAAAAGAAAAAGAAATCGTCATAATTCACTGCATTAGTCTGGCGGTATTTATTCTTATGTTGCATAGCACTAAGCCTCAGGATTTACAAGGCGTTACAAGGCTATCGGGTGCAATTACATTTAGATCAAGCGAGCACAATCACCCTACTTCTCCTTGATAGAGAGACAGATACTGCCGAGTTCCAGAAAGAGTGTTTAAACGTCCTCCATGGTAGGACAGATAAATACCTGAGACAGTCTCATTCAGTAGATTAATGTTTCATCACTAGCCCTCGTCCCAGGTCGACTTCAGGGGACAGTACGCACAATTTGAGGCACATTCCCAGTGAACCTGTGGCTGAGACAGTTTAATATGAGTGTTTTCTCAAGGATGACAAGAGAAGCATCAGTAGCCTTTTCTGTCTTCCTTCCTGTCTCATGGACACAACTGATCTCATCTGAGATACTGAGCCGTGTGTAAAATCAGCGATTGGGTACTGTAATATATGAGCCACTTATGGTAAAACATGACTCTATGCGTTTAGTCAAGTGGCTGGGCATTTATTCTGAGTAGCCAGTAACAGAAGGTGTGCAATTAGGGTGTTTGAGTCCTTGGTTGTTTGGAGGGCAGTTTAGAAGGAGAAAACCTCCCCAAAGGCTCATATCTTTAAACAAGCAGCTCCAAACAGGTAGAAGGTCTTATTTTTGGCTCCGTCTACATGTGTGCGCTTGAATAGGGGAAGTAAATGGGCTTGAAACCCCACAGTCTGCACCTGCCTCACAGTCTGTCTTTGCTCACATTATGACATCAAGGCACAGCCACTACTATACGCTCCAGCCATATCACTCCCTCACTTTTCCTGGATAGGTCAGAATCGTCCGCACGGAGCCAATTATGCAAAAAAGCCCTGTGCTTGTTATGGATGGAAGAGCATTTCACTGTGGACCGCTCACAGTGTTATGTTATAGAGAGTTGCACGCCTACAGGTTATGTTTATTTCTGCTGTGGATGCTGACAGTTTTTGAGAAGATTCAGAGGGAAATTTGATGAGTTTGTTGGCATTTCCAAACACAGACTCCCAAGGGCACCCAACACATATACATATTGACTGCAACTACCATTCCCTTCCAAATTTAAATATGCCATCATTTTCCTGTCAGACTTCTGTTTCAGGTGGGAGGTTTTGACTTGAAGCAACATCTTTTATAGACCCTTTTACAATCGTCCAAACTCTGTCAAATTAGCCCAGTTTGATGGCATGCTGAGGAGGAAGAAGAAAGATACGTTCTCATAATTAAGAAATGGAGCAAAATCTTAAGAGTCTGACCAAAGAAAGCAGAAATGGTATCTATATTTGTCTTTGTTTAAGAGCTTTGGTTCTTATCCTACTGCTGTCAACACATCCGCAGATCCTCAGGAGATACAGTCTTGTATTCTGACTTCATACTGTTTACTCCACTGCATTAAAGAGAGGCAAAAATAAATGTCATGCACTCTTAAATCTGCGACAGAGCATACCTGAAGGAGCACAGCTTCCATTTCCTGAGCTCCTGGGAATTATCTGGCATAATGAAGATGTTTTCCTGCGGTTTGATTTACAGGAGACATTAGAATATGCTGAATCTCTGTGTTTGGAGCAAAGGCAATAATATCATGAAATCAGTGATAATACCACAACTTAATATATCAACTAACATTCTAAATGCTCCTTAAATAAGGCTTTTACGGCAAAAACCTTAATATTTTAGTGTATGTGTGGTTTTTCTAGGCATACTCTAAATATCCTTAAAAATAGTTTTACCTGAAGCAACATTGTAATGTATTAAGAAATTATTTTTAATCCCTGCATTTATTATTAACAGTAGCATTTCTTCTTATTATAATTATCATTATTATTAGATATTATCATATTATATTATGTTGTTATTAATATAGTTATGTTTAGTTATATTGTAACTAATGGGGACAAATATAAATTAATAAATAAAATGACTTAATTTTGCAGTGTTGATGTACCTGCTGGTCTGCATTCTGATCCAAAGCACAGAAATGCTTCATGAATGTCAGAAATGTTTGAATGAACTGCAGGCATTGATCCACAATTACAGATGAAAGTGATATATGGTATTGTTTTATCTGCAAATGGTGAAAGGAAAACTCGCTCAACATTTCAGACATGGTTTTACTTTACATTAAACATGAGTTTTCTGAAAAAGCTGTACACACAAATAGCAATCGCAGTACGGTCTTACGTAAATAGTAGCCCACAATATCTATGTATACAATGAGAATAGAATGCACACAATGAATGTCTCTAACATCTTTTTCTCTCTCCTCTTTTTCTTCCCTCCCTCCTCCTTCACTGCTGCCCTCTTCTATCTTCGCTGGAGCAGTGGATCACTTGGGCATTGAGTTCATGGGTAAGAAAAAGAAAAAGCTTTTTCTTATTGGCAGAGCGATGAATCATGCTTACAGAGTTTATATGAACCAAGGCAACTGTGTATCTGCTTTGTGCAGCCGTGCTTTTCTTTTCATTGTATGTGTTTGAATGTGAACGTTCCTGTTATCTCTTTTGACTGTGCACTGTATGTGGGCTAAACTGTTGTTTTCCCTTCTTGACTCTTCACTACAGCTTCTATGAAAATACCCCCAGAGTCGTCATGAATGCGTTCACATTTGTAGAGATGCAATATTTGAAGCATAAGGTTGCTTCATTCACATTTGACAGGACTAGAATTTGCCTGAAGTTATTTTGCTATTTACCAAAGCACTGTGGTGTAAGGACATGTAATTAAACTGTGCACTTAAGACTAGTTTGTGGTCAGAGATTAGTAACAGAGAGCAAATTATAAATCATAGGTGTCAGCTCACTGCCTTTCATTTGCTCTCAAACTACTCTTCCCTCTCCTCCAATCACTTGGCTGCATTCCACTGCAGAATTCCAATGCTCTTTGGTCTCCTTGGAAACGGCATTGAAATGTCGAGAGGACAGTAACAGGAGACAGTGAGGGTGAATTCATATTGTTGGCACAGTTTGAGAGGTAACACTGTCAGTGTCTGTAATATATTTGTGTTTAATAAAATGTATTGTGCATTTGACAATGCATATGTAGGCGAGAAGTTGAGTTCTCTACGATAATATGCAATATTGAATATGTATTTTTTTTCACAAATGCATAGTTTAGTGTTTGCATCGCATAATCTAATTTAATTACTTCAGATTCTTTATTAGCCCATTATTAAGTGACGTCATATGACTTCAATGCGACATCATCTCGTGCCTTAGAGAGGGAAATGTCTATCTGTTCCCTTTCAGTCGGTCACTACGAGTCACGTCGTGACCGACGAATTGGGATCTCGCTTCGAGAGACCAATCTACTTCGAGTGTAACTAAACGAGCTAATGCACATTGGCATGCAATTATTGCATCCAGCTGCCGCTGATCACAGCGGGAGCATAAAAAGGCAGCCGATGCAATGCATACCAGCTTTTCGCTTCGGAGCCGAGCAACAACATCGTTCTGCTCCATCCAAGTGTCTTCAGTGAGCTACGAGTTCAACGCGCTCTTGGAAGCTTCTGGTGTTGGCGGATGGCACTTCAGCGGTGGTCGTTCCTGTGTTCCAGGCTTCGCTACCTCCAGGGGGGCGGAGCTCCGTTGCCTCTGCCGCGATCTAGTGCTCGTCCTGGCGGCTGCCGGGCGAGGGCTACTTCCGGCAGTTGCACGGGTGGTTTGAGGGTTACAGTGGTGGCAAACCCCTCAGGGAACCAACCCTCGGGGGACCACCACTCCTCTAGCGCTTCAGATCCAGTTGAGCGCTTCATACCAGGTTTTCGCTGAGGAGCCGAGCCGATGACCCGGCCGCTCAGCGGTGGTACACCAGCGAAAACCTGGTATGCATTGCACCGACTGCCTTTTTATGCTCACGCTGTGATCAGCGGCAGCTGGATGCAATAATTGCATGCCAATGTGCATTGGCTCGTTTAGTTACACTCGAAGTAGATTGGTCTCTCGAAGCGAGATCCCAATTCGTCGGTCACGACGTGACGTCTCCGTTCCCTCCTTCAAGGAACGAGGGTTACATGCGTAACTGAGACGTTTTTTGATTATAGAGCTTGGAAGATTCCCAGAGCTGTAGATCGATGGGTGAGGCAGGGTAACAGGCAGATGGATTTTGTTCACGTTGATTTCCAATCTCCGTTGCTGAGGCTCCTGAATGAGAGGAGCCAGCTCTTCTGTTACTTTGATATCTGGATTTCGATTGTTTTTCCTGTTTTCTCTTTGTCCAGCCAAATTCTACAGGATAGATGCACTCACTTGTGTCAGCACACTCGTAGACAAGTCGAGAGTAGTCAGAGTAACTGATTTTATCAAGTTAATGACTGAACTGGTAGTTTCAATGAGCTCAACGCACTCGTCTGTCTGTCTGTCTCTCTGTTTATCTCTCTATCAAATTCTGAATTATTGAACGTCAAAGGGGGCACCCTGCAGCCTTGTGGACGTCATGGACATGCGCACATGAAAGACTGCGAGACCACATGAAGTGTGTCATTTGAAACAGGGCCTTGTTTTGATTCTGCTGTCTGCAAAAAAAAGAACATTGTGAAGACTGAGACGTGCTTTCATGCCTTGCTTTATCTCGCACAGCTGTGAGAGTGACAGCTTGTTTAAGCCTTAATTTTAGCATTTATTTTCTATGTGATGGTTTGATAGTTGCCATGTACACACTGCAGAGCTCAGAATGATACCTGTGAAGTCAGTGTCACTTCCTCTTAGCAGTAACGACAAAGAGTGGACTACACTTGATGAAAGAGAGTAGAGTGATTCCTGCAGGCCTTTTAAGACCACATACTGAGCTTGGCTTTCTCTTTAGTGAGCATAGAGCACATAGGAGATGACAGAAGGAAAAGTATAGAAAAAAAGCAAAAGCAAATGTTTTGGGGTGAGAGTGGAAATTTATAGAAATGTTCTAGTTTTAGGTAGTTAAAATGATTGCTGCACACCTGGAAAGAGGTCAGAACCTGTGAGTTTATGAATACACAACAAAGAACATACAATTGCATGGCTCAGCAGTCATTAAGGTAGTTCTGATTTCTACTTGCCCTGCCTGTAGTTTTAGAAGAAAAAAAAAACTGGACAATATTTGACAAAAAAAAAAAAGGTTTTCTTTAAAACAAACAAAGAAACTAACAAACAGATTTTTAATTTAAGCTGTGGCAACTTAATTAACTTTTTGCTGTGATATGATGTCATGTGATGCACAGCATTGATTTATTTATAATTAATTTGTTAGCTATCTAGATAATGTTACCTTGCAGATGAGTTTAAATCAATAAAATTACATTTTTATTTGATAAAAACATGGACAATATCAATAAATGTAAGATGCAGTTTCAGTCGGACGTCCTTATTGTTGAGCTCTGAACTGACAGGATATTTTGCTTGTCAGAGTTTAATAGACTCTTTATTGTATAGGGTTGGGAATCGAAAATCGATTCCGATTCCAGAATCGGATACTTAAGGTCAGGAATCAGATACTTGTTGTCAAATTAAAATTTCGATTCTGCCTATCGATTCCTATGCGCTTTTTTTTTTCTTCATCTGTGAGGACCAGTGTTGTGCCCAATTCTGACCTCCTGCCAGATTATAACCCCCCAGTATTGGTAGGTTTAGGAGTAGGTGTGGGGCCGGACCTAGCGATCTGCCAGGACCTTGCTTGCTAATCTAAGCGCTCCAAAGTTTGGCTATATTTGCGATCAGAAACCAAAAAAGCTAAGTATAATATCTGTGATAGCTAAACATGTTGCAAGAGAGGTGTCACCACCAACATGACAAAGCACTTTAATTTAATAGATCGTTAAAGATCGCGAACACAATTCAAACACCAACGTGATTCTATTCCTAAATTACAATGATTTGTCTGTTTCATTCCTCAACCTTTGACGTGTGCGATCAATGTTGTGATCACTTG